AAATGTTCAGCTTCCCACCCAGCCCCAGAGGCCTGGGGGTGGCTTCCAGGTGAATGGCCCAGTAGACAGAGCAATTTCTTCCAAGACTCTGCCAAGGATCGCAGCCAACAAACCACCTCCCTTACGCGCACTGGCAGGTCCCTGTCCTGCTTCCCGTCCCTCTTATGTAAGAGTCACACAGGTGGGCAGCTGGGACCTATGCCATGTGGGTCAGAGGTATCTGGGGCCACACCTTGTTAGCCACCCCAGGGCGGTCTGGGGCGGGTCCCCACTCATGCCCAGCCCCGGAACCTGAGGCACCGCAGCGACTGGCTCCCAGACTTGCCATGGCTTAGCCGTCGAGCAAAGGGATGCCAAGCCCAGTGCCTGCCAACCTCGAGGAGGAGGAAGGTGAGCGCCCCGGGACAGCCAGACCCCCCTGGCTCTGCTTCTGCCCTGAGTCTTCTGTGGGGTCTGCAAGCCAGAAATCAGGAGAGAGCTGCCAGAGGCCTGATTTTGAGGTAGTCCATCCAAACCAAAAGGAAGCGGCAGGTGGTGGGGGCCATGGGGTCTGCCATGCGAGGTGACAGGAGGCCAGGGTGAAATCAAGCTTGCAGATGAGGCTGTGGCTATCGGGAATGCTAGCTAGTGCTGGGGCTGGCCCATGTGGCCAGGGCCATAGGATTTGGAGGAGGCACCCCTCCTCTCTTTGGGGCTTTTAGAATAGGGGAAGGTACTTAAGCAGCACCTTCCATTGAGAACTTTCTTTGGCCTTCTAGGACATGGATTCTTTTTTTTTTACACCCTGTGCAGAGAGGAGAGGATAACAGGCGAGGTAGGGAAGGGTGGTCAGAAGTCTTTGCAAAGCAGGAGTCCTAGAAATTTGATTTATTGGTGAGTGACTGGCCCTCTGGGAGGCCAGAGCCCCAAGGCAGCCACCTCCTGTGAGGTGTACCTTGTTGTCAGCCTGATCCTACAAACCTGTGGGCTTGTGAGGCAGTAAATTACAGCCAGGTGCCAGCCTCAGGAGCAGTGAGTCATGTCCTGAAAGGAGGGCAAGTACCCCTCTCCCAGCCAGGCCTGGGGCCGTGACTCACACAGTGTCTCTATTGCAGGGCGGTTTGGTGGCGCTGGGCCTCTCTGGGGCTCCCGTGGCTCTCCCCGGGGGACGCCGGGGGACACTCTCTGAGGTCCTCGCTCTCTCCCGGGTGAACTTGAGGGCTGCAGCTGCCCCACAGGGATCATGCCAGAGGTGCTTCTGCTCAGGTCTGCCAGCTCCATCCTGAGGACTGTGTAAGAAATAAGGGTCCCTCCTCCCTCCCGCCTCCCAGCCCCCACCCTGTCTCCCAGGAGGAGGTTTTGGCATAGCTGCTGGACCTCCAGACTGGGGTTTGGGATTTTTTAACCTCATTCAGTCACCTCCCCATTTCACTGAGAATTTTCTTCTCATTCCTTAAAAAGGTCCATGAGCACCCACCAGTGACCACGAGAGCTCCCTGTGCACTAAACACTTTTAGTTTTCAGGTATCACCTCATCTCCTCAATCTAGTTAGAAAATCAAGGCTCAGAGAGGTGCAGTGACTTGGCCACAGTCACACAGCTAATAAAGTGAGTTGAACCCAGGCAGACAGAGAGACTGGGGTGAATTGCAATCCTAGGTTGTTTCAAGAAGACATTTATTGAGTACCTACTCCATATAGAGCCATAGCGTGGCTGCTGAGGACTGAATGGGAAGAAAGAATAACAAATAAGAAATGGGTCCTCCTCCATAAGCAATTCATATGGAAAATGAGGGGCTCTCCGTGATTTACATGTCACACACAGAGTGATGGCTTGAGAAGGGGTAGGTCCAAATAATATTTACTAAATTCCCGCAGCAAGTACTCATAGCCAGAAGACAGAGCAGAGTCGAGAGTGACCCCTGTTTCCAGGAGCATCCAAGCCCAAACCTGAGTGTCCAAGGGCCACGGGGGTGAGAGATTGTTGGGGAAATCTGGGAGGGCTTCCTGAAGGAGGCATTGAAAGAGAGAGGCTGTGTGCATTTGCTCAAGCTTGCCTTTGGATGTTGCTCCAGTGCCCCTGGGGAGGTGCTGAGGAAGCTGGGCTTTGTTCATTTGTTTTTGTGAGGGTGAGTGGAGGCGCTCCCAGTGCATCCCTGTGTCAGGAATGAGCACAGACCGCGTCCTCACCAAGTGAAAGGGAGCCTTCACCTGCCCTTTCTCAGGGTCTTCTTCTCCCTCCTGGGATTTCAAAACCCAGACAGAAGCAAGTCGGCCTCCTCGGGCCCTTCTCCACCATTCTTGTCACTTTATTACTTTAGATGGCTTCCTCCTCTGGGACACCTGCCAACTGTGAAGCACCGCATTCCAGGAGGGTATGAGTTTCCAGAATGACAGGAATGAAGTGTTAATCACCTTCCTTGACAGGCTCATTAGGGACCTCGAAGACAGCAGTGTCACCTCGCCTGCTGGGGCCATTTATTAGCCACCTGTCCTTGCAGGGAAATAGCAGCAAGAATCAGGAGAAGGGCCCAAATGCTTTTAAGGAGCCAAAAGACAATAGGGTTTTGAGCAAAACGTGATGGATTCCTGTCCTACGATCCCAGCGAGCTTCATTTGGTTTCTGCAAGAGGGAGTGGGAGACCGAGGGCTAGAAGCCAGCCAGGGGACAGTGGCAAGAAGTGACTGCTAGAAATGTCAGAAAGGATTAAAAATTAAAAGAAAGAAAACCAAGCTAGCCTCTGCCAACGTGCCAACGACGACAAGGGAAACTCAGGCAGCTACCGTGCTGGGAAGGGACGATTCCAGCCGTGACGCCATTTGACCCACTTCTGTGGGCCAGGAAGTCAGCTCTGGGTAGAGCCCTGAGAGAGCTGCAGGGATGGCCAGCAGGGAGGGCCAGCGCATGCTGATCCCCATGATCTCCCTCAGAGGACCCACCTCAGAGCCACTAGCGGGCGGAGTAAGCTTAATTTTGGGGGGAAAATTAGGTTTCGATTTTCTCTTCATTGGGCACCCCAAATTCTGTAAGCATAAAGAGTTGAATAAGAGCCTCCCTGGGCCAGCCACGAGGGTAAGTGAGCAGTCCCTGTCACACCAAGGACTGGCGGAGGACCAGGGTCCAGTGAGGGAAAAGGCAGAACAGGGTGGCTGGATAAGAACTGTGTCCGAGTGACAGATTTCGGGGCAGTGGGTGCCAGACACCAGGGAAGAGGCCCCCAGGGACAGGGGCACTTCCACCAGCCTCAACCCTCATAGACTGAAGACTAATCTTCGTGAGCACACTTGGCCCTTGGCTTCCTTAGGTGGTTTTCTTTTCATTTAGTCTTTGTTTAGCTATTTTAAAACCAGAACCACCTTACCCAAAGTTAATTAGGTGGGGGAAATGCTGCCTGTAGCTTTAATGGTGAGGGTTTAAAAACACTCTTGTTTGTGAACAGGCAGTTAAGATGGTGGGAGATTACAGTCTCTGCTAATTGGGGGGTGGCCCACCAGCTGGTGATTTCAAAGGCCCATCAGCTCTAAGAACAGGGTTTGTCCTGCTGTTGGGCCCCATCTTTTGAAGACACAGGCTGAGATAGAGCAAGGACATTAACCAAGTTCACAGTGCCTTCCCTGGATGCTCAGCAGGGGACCCCAACCCCCTGGTGTACGGTCCCTGCATTTACCAGGCCACTGCTCAGAGCTCCATGGCTGTTTGTTTGAACATTACAGGGTTCTTTGTCCCTCAGTGAGGACAGCTTGTCCCTGACAACCCTGGAAAGTAGAGGAGGTACCTGATGGTCTAGTCCCATAGCACTCCGAAAACCCCACCTCCTTCTGCCCAGCACAGTGGCCTCGCCCAGAAACATGTCACCCTGTCTCCTCTGCAGCAGGTTGCCATAACAACAGAAGAGCAGCTCCAGCCCTGTGGTCCCAAGAAGGGGGACCAGCTCGGTGCCCCACTCCTTCCCCTGCCCCGGTCTCACCCCCTGCATAACCTCCTGATGTCTTTTGCTTTAAAACCTACCCCAGGTTCTTAAGCAGACTGCTGCCAGGTGGGCCACGGTGTGTTCGGAAACTTAGTTTGCACCTGCAGTACCAGCAAGGAGTAAGGCTGAATGTACAGAGCAGGTAATGGGCCTGGCTTCTTGGGAACTAGTCAGGGATGGGGTTAACCCCACCCTGACACATAGATGGGACTCCCAGGAGCCAGGGACATATTTTCAGAGTTGCTGTGACCGGTTGCACAGATTGCCCGCTGCACAATTCCTGGGTGCTCTGTTTACACACTTGATGACTTTGTAATGTCCCTCCGGGTTGTGCAGTCTTACAGCCCTATGCGGTCCTGAGGTGTGTACTAACACGTATCTGCTCATCCACCCAGGAGGTGGAGGTGTAGCCAGGTAAACAATAAGGGACAGTGAGGCTGAGATGATAATGGGAGTCTGAGCTGTGCTGGCTAAGAGAAAAGGCCCTTTATCCAGAGCCACCAAGAGAAATATGGGCCAGGGGCAAAGATGAATGGCACTGGGCTCCAGCCTTCCCTGTCTATGCCTGTTCTCTCCATGAGGTGAACAGACATGGGGTGCACTCATAAGCACGACTGAGAAGGTGAGGCCTTCATTTAGGGACCCACTTAGGACCCCCGAGAATCTCAGCAATGTCCTTGGCTCCACTCAGTTTCTAAGCAGGGCTGAGGACTAGTGGGTATTGGGGGGTGAGGGGAGAGTGCCAGACTCCAATGCCTTCCTTGTCCAGATAGGGACACTGAGACTCAGAGATGTATGATCTTGCTCAGAGTCACACAGCATGTTAAAGCAGAGTGGGACTTGACTTCTTTTTCTACTGAGCCCTTAGAGCCTATGGGGGGTGGCCGGGGAGAGCAGTGTTAACCTGGCAAGGACTGAAGTCTCCTCCCCTGGCCCCCATCGGGACCCTCTCTTAGATGGTTCCTGGGGGTGCTGAGGTCTGTGCTGGGTCAGAATCTGGAGCCCAGGTCATGTACCATGTTCTAATGACTGTTTCCCCAACCCCCGCCAGCTCCCTGACAGACAGGCAGACGCTCTCCAGAGAGTCGCTAAGCCATGATCTTGAGTTCTCCACCCATAAGAAGACCAAGCATGCCCAGCTGGACTGTCCAGGTGAGCTGGGCGGGGCGGGGCAGGCTGGAGGGAGGTTGGAACTACGCTGGGGTGCTACAGGGGGCTCTGCCGAGCACTGCATAAAACTGGGGGAGGGGCAGGCACAAACCCTGCCATCTCCACATTCCCAGGGACCTCACCAAGCTCTTCCCTCATGGCCACTATTGACACCATCAGAGCCAGGCATGGCGGAAGAGAGTGGGGGAAGAGTTCTTCAGTAAGGTCGGGAAGGAGAGAAGCCAGGGAAGGGGCACAGCCAGAGCTTCCTCCGGGCCAAATCACAGCTGCTGGGGTTGCTGGGGGACATCGAAGCACAGATAAGCAGCACCTTGGGGTTTTTGGCCTGGATAACTGGAGCACAGGGCAATCAGATGGGTGGAGGCTAGCAGGGTTTATTTTGAAGGCTGGAAAGTCACATGCTCTTTTAGTGACCTTCCTCTTAGATATGTGCATCTCAAGGAAGAGAGAGTTATCATTTACCCTGAAAAGTTATTTGAAAGATAATAACAGGAACAATACAGTTTTTGTTCACTTTATTGGCTGCACAACAACATTATAGCAACAACAGCTTTTTTTTTTTTTTTTTTTTAAAGAAAGAGTAAGTGCCTAACACAGAGGGTCCCTCCTCCTGCTATTGGTGCTGCCCTGGGACCTTAGCTCTTGCCCCTGGCCTGGGTCACCTCTCAGGGCAGAGTGTTCCCTGTGTTGCTGGACTTCCTGGCTGGGGCAGCTGCAGGCCCGTCTTTAGAGCAGGCAGGCTGACACCCCCACCCCAGGCCGCCTGTCTTTGGGCCTTTAGGTGAAAATTGGCTGCAGAGAAGACAGGTTGCCTGTTGGGTGCCATGTTGACTGGCATGACTTGTAGAATGTCCTTGCGCTCAGTGTGGCCATTTTCCTCACAGCTAGAGGGCAAATGGCTGAGGGGAGTGGGCAGTAGTGTTTGGAGTGAGCCCAGCTGGAGAAGGGCCAGTTCCAAGGGTCTCTGAACCAGAGGGCCAGGGAAGCAGGGGAGGCATCGGGCCTTTGTTCGAGTCCTCTTTCTTTGGGGTTTCTTCTGACCAGGTTTTCCTGGAACCTGGGATGAGGGCAGAGGACAAGGCCAGGGCCAGGCCTCCTCTGCTATGTCACAGCATCGTCATGGGTTAAAGGACACTGGTCACTATGCTCATTCTCAGCGAGGACACTAAGGTGTACAGAAGTATAATAATGGAGACCCTGGGTCAGGGCTTTGGGCACTCCATTCCCCAGGCCACTAGCCTCCTTGGAGACCAAATGCCAGTCCCCTTGCTCCAGCTGGGTTTGCTGCTACCATCAGGCAAGACGTCCTTCTCCCAGGCTGAGTGTCTCGGGGTGGGCTTGGCTGGTCTGGCTGAGGGGTGAGGTGCCTTCCAGAGGTGGACATTGCCTCTCATGCCCCTCCTCAGAGGTGAAGAAGGAAGTGGTCCTAGGTGGGGACTCCCTGGTTTCAGAGAGTGGTTTGAAAGGCTTAGGAGGAGGCCAGGAATGGGCTCGGCAAGGCCCAGGCAGCCTCAGTGTCCATCTTCCCAGGATGTGTGGGGCACCCCACTGACTTGCTGGCCTCTTCAGACAGCCCCACTGCTGGCTCCGGTCCAGACACCCAAGACTCCCTAATCGCTTCCCTGGGGCACGCAAGGGGCACTTGTCAGTTTCAGGGGACGTGGGCACAGTGAAGCCCTGGGGCTCGGGGAGTGCTGGGTGTGAAGGTAGCACTGGTCTTCTTGTAACTCAAGTGCAGGAAGGGGGCTGATGTGGCAAGATCAGTGTCCCCTGGAGCCCCTGAAAAGTGCCTGGAGCAGCCCTGGGTGCCTCAGTTGTTCAATTTGAGTCATTGTCACATGACAGATCTGCAGCAATGGCACAGGAGTGGGCAGCTTTTAAACAGAGGGGCTGGAGAGTAGCTGGGCTAGGTTGGGTAGGTCTCTGCAGAGGCAGTGACAGGGCCACCTCAGTCTAGTTTATTGGGACTATAGGAAACTGTCAGGGATGGCCTGGCTAAATGTGCACCAGGACCTCCTCTTGTGTGCTGGGCTTTGGGGACTGCTGAGCTAAACACACCCATTTCTGCCCCTGAAGAACTGCCAGTCTGAGGGCAGGGACAGGCAGAGGAAGGCAGGCCTGTGTTCTGGAAACTGGGGGGTCATGGGGATATCAGGGATGAACAGGATCTCCAGCTGTCCTTGGAACCTTTTGTCCATCTAGGCCTGGGTCTGGGCTGCATGGTCTGCCCTTTGGGTTCAGCATCCGGGGATGGTGCTAAGAAGGAAGGGACAGTCTGGGAGGAACTAACGGGCCTTTGGGTACCATGGCTGTCAACAGGCACTGGAAGCAGAGGGTCCCAGGGGCCCCTAGGTGATGCCCCAGCAGTGCTGAACAGCTCCTGGGCTCCCACAGACCTGGTGTATAGCCACATTCTCCCCAGTCCTCTAATGCAACCCTGGGCGAGGGGAAGGTGCTGGGATGGGGCTGCACAGACTGAATGCCCACTGTGTGCCAGGCCTGGAGTTAGGAGTCCTTTACCTCATCATCTGCCCAGAAGTTCCAGGGCCCTGGGCTCTAGGTGCTGCTGGAGTAGGAGATGGGAGCAGTCACAGGTTGAGAGGGAGCTTGAAGCTGCTCTTTCTCAACGCACTTTTCATAAGATTTAGAAAAGGCAACTTTCCATTTCAAAGACCTGGAGAGGGGCATCTGTAGGATTGGGATAAGGCTGAATGTCCTCTCTTGCAGAACTGACCCTTAGTACGAAGAGCAAACTTTCATTGAACATTCACTATGAGCTGGGCCCTGTGCTAAGGGACTTTCTTAAGTCTTTCATTTTATCTTATTGCAGCTGTGGGGAAGGTACATTGACCATTCATTTGAGAGAGGAAACAGCTCAGAGAGGCTTACTGATTTTCTTTGAGTCACACAGTTTACTAAAAATGGAGCTCTTGCTAGGTTTGGTGGCACACGCCTATAATCCCAGCAGCTCAGGAGGCTGAGACAGGAGGATCATGAGTTCAAAGCCAGCCTCAGCAATTTAGCAAGGTGCTAAGTAACTCAGTGAGACACTGTCTCCAAATAAAATACAAAATAGGGCTGGAATGTGACTAAGTGGTCCATTGCCCCTGAGTTCAATTCCCAGTACTTAAAAACAACAACAACAACAAAAAAAAACAACCTCTTAACTGGCCATCCTGTCTCTTTGGGAACTAGATTGACTGTGTCACGCACAGTATGGCCCCCTCCAGGTCTGGTTAGCTCCTGCTTCCATACTACCTGACTGCTGAGCTGGTGGCCCCTCAGAGGAGCTCCTAGAGTCTTGCCTATAGGAATCAGGGTTCACCTGGAGTCCTTGGAAGCTACCTAGTCTCCTTGAATTCCCAAGAAGCTTGAGGGTCTCTGACTCTGGTCCCCAGGCTAGGCTCCAAGTTGCCCAAACAGCTGTGCTCCCAGGGAGCAGCCCCCATGAGCCAGGCCATGGAGCTACTGGAATCTGACCTCCACACAAAGGCAGCCTTGTGCCAGGTCCTGGGACACATTTCTTTCTAGCCTTTCAAGGCTGAGCATGAACCCAGGCTGAAGAAGGGGAGGGGACCTAGGGAGAGCAACTTCTGGGACCGGAGCTGGTAGAGGTACTGCCCAGGGCCAGCTCTCCACCCCCACTCTCCCTAGGAAATTCTAGCACCCACTGGAGAGCACCGAGCTAAAGACTGGGAAGCTAGATGCTCAGCCCTGCTTGGTCTGCAGCCCAGTAAGGCTCTTGAAGGCCCAGGGATCTTGCTGTGCCTCCCTCTGTCCCTTGCTCCCATCCTCGTCAATGTCCTAAGGGTATAAGTGGTGTCTCAGGCTGGAGCTATGAGCTGGGGAACCAGGAAGGAGCAGAATATTACCTTGTCCTTCGGGAGATCACAGTCTGAGGTTGAGGATCAAGAAGAGGGCTAAGGAACAGAAGGAGGCAAAGGACCATCTGTTGCTTCAGCCTTTGGTGGAGTGGGACTGGAGGAAGGTAGGAAGGACTTCCCAGAAGTGGGAGGAAACAAGGGTAGGTGATTCCTATTCTGTGAAATGGGAATGGGTGGTGATCCATGTCCTGCCAGCCTCTGGGGATCCTTGGAGAGACCTTTCCACAGGGGTCAAGGAACCCACTCTGCCCCTGCCTGGACATTCTTCAGATTCTGCTTGGTGTCTTCCACCCACTGTCCCCTTTTGTGACCCTGCCTGTGCAGGGAAGGTCTGAACTCATCTCCCAGACCTCACTCCTCCCCAGCAGGTGGACAATCAGCCCAGGGCCTCCTCCTAAGTCTTCCTACCACAGGGGTAGCCCAGCCATCTCAGCACCCCAACTCAGTGGTCCAGGCCAGGTTGTGTGGAACCATGGGGGCAGGCCATCAAACCTAGAACAGTGACCTGGAGGGGCTTGTAGAGATTATTTTGTCTATCCTCACTGTAATTCAGATGAGGAGAGAGGCCCGGAGATGGCAAGGATCTGTCTGCTCAGGGTTACTGTAACTGTAGTGGCCCAAACTCAGAGCTCTTGACCCTTCAGCGAGAAGGCGGGGGAGTGGCTGACAGCTGCAAGGTGTTCTCCCACCAAGCACAGAACAAAATCAGCAGCCATTCGGTCAGTACATTCTGTACCACATTGCCAAAGTCCTGACAGTTTGTTCTGTGCCAGGCTTATCCTTATCTTTCATCATGTCCTAAGGTCAGTGTGACTTCTTTGTCTTCTATATTCCCAAGACTGCTTGGCATGGGGCTGTGCCGGTGCCAAAGTTCCTGTGTGGAGAGTGGCCCTCCTAGCCACTGCAGGAGGGGCGGTAGCGTCTGGTGCCTTGAGAGAGCACTCTTGGAGAGAGATCAGTGCGTGGCCAGAGTGCCACCTTGTTCTATCCCTCCATCTGCACAATACACTTCTTTGCTAAAGCTGTTCCCACAGACTACAGAAAACACTACCCCACCCCCAGCCCCCTACTGGCTTCCCTCTCTCTGAGCTGGTGTTT